GCGGGCTAACGGGGCACTGGAAGCACCTAGGGCCGATGGCAAAAGGCAGAACAACGAAGTATAAATCAAGGAGCAGTGCCCAGCCATTCTGTGATTCCTGTGGAAGCCTTGAGGGAGCGCTGTCTCACTGTCGGGTTGAAGGAGGCCGGTCGGGCGGCTATACTGCGCAGCAGTTGGGGCTGGTCACGTTCGAGCGCAGCCTGAGCATCGAAGACGACGAGGCGATGCAAAGTGGGGAGCGAGACGGGCAGCGCCGTGCAGTAACGGGCGGACCAGCGGGGTTGTGGAGAAAAAGGAATGAACGTGGATGGAAGCCTACGCCAGGTGCATTCGGAGTGAAGGCGGAGATGGTGGTAGTGGGAAGGCGAAGGTGATGGGGACGAAAAGTGCCTAGCACCCCCGATCTTCAACGGATTTCGGCAAAGGAAGAGCCGAATCCGGGGTCTTTTGGCCTGGCGAATCCGGCTTTACAGTCGGAATTGAGAAGAAGTTAGCAAGAGAGGAGATTAGTGAGAAGAGTATCATGTGGAGATATGGCGGAGAGAGAGAGAGAGAGAGAGAGAGAGAGAGAGAGAGAGAGAGAGAGAGAGAGAGAGAGAGAGAGAGAGAGAGAGAGAGAGAGAGAGAGAGAGAGAAAGAGAGAGAGAGAGAGAGAGAGAGAGAGAGAGAGAGAGAGAGAGAGAGAATGGGAATGGGAGAGAGAGAGAGAGAATGGGAATGAGAAGCAGAGTGGAGCATCAGCGGGCAACTACCGGTGACGAAGAGCTAAGTGTAGAAGGCAGCGGCAAGCGGAGTAGGCAGCATCAAGCGGAGTAGGCAGCAGCGAGCGTGGTAGGCAGCAAGCGCTGAGTTCGGGTGCATACAAGGGGATGAACCCGGCGCGGTTTTGCGCCCGGGTGCATTCGACAGTAGGGGAGATGCTGTGTAGGGGAACGAGTGTCGGGCGGGACARGCGGCRWGGCAGCAGTTACGGGCGATAGAGCAAAAGCGGGGTATCAGAGGAGCAGGCGCAGCGCTGGGCAGTAGCGGTGGCAGAGCGAGCAGGCGGAAGGCCGGGTGCTTTCGGAGGATGAACTTGGGCACATATGTGCGCCAGGTGCATGCACGGAGATGGTGGAAGAAGGGAAGTAGGAAGAACGAATAATTCACCCGATTCTTGATGGAATCAGGCGAAATAAAGGTAGAGGTCACGGTTCTTGGGCCGGGCGACCTCGTTAGTAAGGTTAGATTAGAGGGAAAATTAGTAGGATAGGTGGTAGGAGAAGAGAGGACTGCGCGGAGTTATGAGAGGGAAGGAAGAAGGTGGGAGTGAAGTCTAGTTTAGTCTGTCGTTTCTCGATCATTTTCGGTAAATGAAGATGCAAATGTGGGGTTCTTAGATGGGGCGAAGTAGACTGTGGTGTTAGTTTGCAGTGTTAGTGGGTAGATTTTGAGTTGCGATAGGTGGGGGCTGCGCCTGAGTGGTGGGCCATTTTAAGGTGACGAGAATCTTCCCATGTTTCGGGGAAGATTCATCTTTTTATATATATATATAAACACCTGAAGGAAAGACGAATCGGATGGTATAATCGAATCTGGAGRATGGTTAGTGGCGGAGGCGGGATGGAGCGAGGTGAGAACGAAGGAGGGGGCAGAGAAAAARAGGGGATTGCGCGTTGGAAGGGAGGTTGAACAGGGGGATGAATCTGACCACGTTTACGGCCGCGTTCATTTACTTTTTTTTTTCTTAAGAAAGATTGGGATCGTCCCTCTTACCTGCCATCGTGGTTGAATGCACGGTGTAGATACTGTAGTCGCCACCGTGGAGCACGTAGTTGTAATCGTTCTCTCGCAGTTATGATCTGGCTACATCTCGCTGACACCTCAGTGATTGCGCGTGTTGTGCTCACCGTTTGCGCATCACTCGTAGTCGTCTCCTTGTTAGCTTCAGATCGTTGCTTCGATCGGTATGTATCCGTCGGTGTCTAGCGGTAGATCCATTCGAAATTGCTCATCCTAATCGATAGAATTAGCGGGTGGGCGGCCGCGAAGTTGGATGCTCACCTGCCGAACGATGCGTTGCTCATCCTATTTGTTGAAACAGCGAGGAACAGAGATACGGGACAAAGCAGCGGAGCGCCTGGTCGAGATTTTGGCAGGATATCTGTTTGGGCCGGCTCAGGCTAAAACAATGGGGGGGGGCGCGAGGGGAGACCGCTATGGTGAAGACGTACCTGACTGGATCGATGTTGTGCTCATCTTATCGACCGCAGTAGTGTCAGTCCAGTCGCTGGTTTGGAGACTTACCTAAGGCCTGTGGGTTCTGGCGGGAGTGCATGGTTGGGACGCAGTGTGCATCTCCACGCTGATCCGTTACGTTTCTTGCTCGGTTGAGAAATAGAGTTGGCATGAGATAGCCACAAAATTATGGGCTTACTTGTCGGCCGGTGGATTTTCTCTTTCGGTCGTGGGTTGTGCATTCAGTGAGCGGCGATGCAGACGAGCGAGCCTGTGGAGGCTAGTGAACGGAGTGAAAGTGAGGGATAGATCCGTGCATTGAGCAATTGCTGCTGCGGATTGGGCATGGACAATTACCTTTGCTGGTGACCACCGCTCTGCACGGCTGCTGCACCTGTGGACGGCGCACAAGCTGCTGCTGCTGCGGGCTGGGCTCGGACTGCTACTGTTGACCTCCACGGTGGACTATTGCTGCCGGCGAACCGCTGCTGTAGTTGTTGACCAGGCTGCGTATTGCTACAGCTGTTGTTTCCCGTCGTTGTGTACTACTGCTGCGCTTGCGGACTGTGCACGAACTGCCGTTGCTGTTGCCGGCAGCTGTACTATTGATGCTACTGTTGTCAGCTTGTCTTTTCTTTATATCTGACCTAGTAAAAATATGGAAAGTCTCCTTTTCTAAAGGGAGTGCTGCCTTAATTAAACAGTCGGATTCYCCTTGTCCGCACCAGTTCTGAGTCGGCAGTTTGATGCTTAGGGAGAGTCCCACGGCCCTGCCCGAAAGGTGGAGACATAAGACATTCTACGTTCGTCGGCACACTCGCACGCGGGCTCCGCGCTCGCCGCGAGAGCAGCTCGGGCAGACCACCGACAGCCAATGACATCGACGCGCAGACCCCTAGGCCCAGCCCTCAGAGCCAATCCTTTTCCCAAGGTTACGGATCCATATTTCCGGTTGATCCGATTCCAAGGTGGGCGAGCCGTCAAGAAGGAAAGAGAACCCTCCCCACGGCCCCCGGCGGCATCCCCGGAGCTGCTTACGTTCCCGTCCACCTCCACAACCTTGGATCAAAAAGCAGGGCAGAGCCACGGCTCCACCTCACGAAATAAGTAAAATAACATTAAAAGTAGTGGTATTTCACGTGCGCAGTAAGGCTCCCACTTATTCTACACCTCTCAAGTCATTTCACAGAGTCGAACTAGAGTCAAGCTCAACAGGGTCTTCTTTCCCCGCCGATTCTTCCAAGCCCGTTCCCTTTGCTGTGGTTTCGCAACATGGTAGATAGGGACAATGGGAATCTCGTTAATGCATTCATGCTCGTCACTAATTAGATGACGAGGCATTTGGCTACCTTAAGAGAGTCATAGTTACTCCCGCCGTTTACCCGCGCTTGGTTGAATCTCTTCACTTTGACATTCAGAGCACTGGGCAGAAATCACATTGCGTCAACATCCGTTGGGACCATCGCAATGCTTTGTTTTAATTAAACAGTCGAATTCCCCTTGTCCGCACCAGTTCTGAGTCGGCAGTTTGATGCTTAGGGAGAGTCCCACGGCCCCGCCCGAAAGGTGGGGACATAAGACATTCTACGCCCGTCGGCACACTGGCACGCGGGCTCCGCCCTCGCCGCGAG